CTTCCAAGGGAAGTGGTGCTGGCCCCTACCCTGGGGGTCTTTAAGAAGAGGCTGGATGCCCACCTAGCTGGACTCGTTTGAGTCCCATTTCTCTTTTTGGGGTTTTTGTTGTTCTCCCGCCCTGGCGGGGGGTCGGGCTAGAAGATCTACTAGGTCCCTTCCGACCCTTAATCTATGAATCTATGAATCTATGAAAACCAGGAAAACTTTTTAAAAGCTATTTTATTTATCCTGAAAGGAGTGAAACTGATTAGTTGTACAAAATAGTATCATACACATAATGTAAAAGTTTTGGTCTGTCTGAACAAAGAAAAAGTACACTGTCATAGTAAAGAAATGGTAGCCTGTCTAGATACGGCACTGCAACATAGTACTTCTTGCAGTTCTCTAGCCAGCAAGTATTAAAATTACCAACTGCTACTATGAAGCTTAAAGTCAGTGTACCTCACTTTCACGTAACATATTCTACCTGTAAAGGAAATAAGAAAAAGAAACATTCCTCTAATACTTCTGCATGTTTTTTAGTAGCACGGCTGAAAGAATGTTTGAGCTTAAAACTCAGGGCAACTACATCTTACATCAAAATGTACCTATTCCCAAATCAACATATTGTTGTGGTGTTTAAAACTGCTCGACTAATAGAATTAGAGTGACACAAATTGATCTTCAGGAGAAAAAAAACCCCAAAAAATTAAGTACTACAATTAAGTACCTTCTATTTTCTAAATAAGTTACCTATACGAGAGCTTTTAAAACATGGTTGTGTAATAAAACAGCTTTTTTTCCTACTATAGCTGCTTAAAAATCAAGCAGTTACATAAAACTAAGTCTCCATTAAAAAAAGAATGGATAATTTTGAGGAAGGCAGTCATCAATTTTTTTCTTTTTTTAAGACTGCTGTAAGGAAAGTCATGCCTTTGATAAATGGCTTTTCTACAATCCCTTTGTACTGGCAACAACCCTGCAACAGAACAGGTCATTTAAGAATAGAACTGGGGGGAGGTGTTCTGATTCGCCTGAGCAATTCATAAATAGCCTTAAAAGTTGTGCCTCTTTTATTACTAAAGACGACTTGACCAGGTTTCCAAACCAAGTCCTTGATGACAGGCTTGATCTAAATATGGATCTGGCTCCACCACAAATCCCACTGAGCTCAATAGTGGCTACAGGTGCACAGCACCTTCACAAATCCGGCATTTCTACATGAGAGGCCAGCTGGAGGCACTGAGGTTTATGTTATTAAAACTATGGATCTGTTTACCACAGCAAAATCCTTGAACAGATTTACCCCCTCTTGGTAATTCACACTCAGTAAGGTCCAACCTGACTATAGCGGATAACCAAGAGCACACCTTCCGACCCAAAACTGAGGACAGGTGGGGGTGGGGTAGTAGTTGGAAGTGGCAAGCATCTGAGGTACAGATCATCTGTTTCAGTAGTGTGACTACAGGATGATTTCACTTTTCACTTTGCTTTGTTGTACTTACAATAAGGACTTAATCCTGCAAACAGTTATGACTACCTGTATAGTTAAATAAACTAACTTTGCTTGGTATTTATATACAGTCAGAAAGCTTTGCAGTACCTGGCCCCCAATTCTCAAAATATGCAAAATAGTGCATCAAATTCCAATACTAAAATGAAACCTAATGAACAAAAAAATTAGTGCATTTCAAATCATTCTAACTTCAAACATCTTTATTTTAGAAGGGATTAATTGAAGTAGACTGAATTGGCATTAAACCAACAACGTTGCAACAGGAAGCTGGGAAACTCTTCCAAGCTTGCTGATGTAAAAAATCCTCAAAAAATATAAATAAACTCAGTGGCTTATGTTGTGGACATGCTACATACAGGACAAAGTATTGGGAAAAACAGTTAAAAGTAAAAAAAAAGCGCCAACTTTTGAAACTGGAGCAGGTAATTAAAAAACAGCTACTAAAAACAAAACTAAATGATGGTAGCTGGAAAACAAAGACCAATGAAAGAGGTGTGCAGTGCTGCTGTGAGAAGATGCTCACTTTTCTTCACTGGCTGAGGTATCAGTTCCATCGTTCAGTTTTTGCTTTTGCATTCTCGTACGAGTAGATGCTAGAGAAAAAAAAAGAGAGACACCTTCACTTCACCACCCTTTGGAACAAAGCAATGCGTGCCAGTCATTTCAAAGAACATAAGAGTTGCACACACAATTTCGCTTTCAAACAGCTCGTTTTTCTAACTAACCAACTAGCTATTCATTTGAACCTACACGCTTCATTGTGATTTATTTAGTAACCTGCCTTGGTATTTATTTTACAGCCTCAAAGGATAATTGCTTTCTGTCTACTTACATTAGCTCCCATGACTACAGAACCAAAACATTTCTATTCCTTACTGCTGAGGCCTGTCCACTGAACATTATGCATGGCTTGGGTTCTTTACTTGCACACGGGCAACTAATACCATCAGTCAGTGGAGAACTCAGCTTCCTGTTCAAGGAATTCCTTCCTGGAGAACATCATACCACAGCAAAATTATCACCATACTAGGGCAGCCGTTCCTAATCTGTGCAACTAGTACATTTTCTTAATAATTTTTTATTTAAGCAAATGGAGAAACAAAACACTGGCGTTATACACAAGAACTACATGAGGTTGGAGTTACATATTTATAAAGGAAACAATATACAACAATTACAACAATATGCAACAGTTATAACATCATCTTTACCATTGATATAATGTTAATACTTGTTAAAATTCAAACAATCTGAATAGAGACACTGGCTTACTAGTTGGTGACTATGTATTAGCTGGAACTACCTTCACCTCTATATTTTAAGAAAATAAGAAATAAAGCATATCTAGATTACCTTTAGTCTAATTAACGCATCTGCAACACTGTTTTGGTGCCTGTATATTGTTGTATACATTGTTGCCCTAAAATGTATTTACTACAGCCTCCATTCCCCCTCCATTATTGATCCAGTTCAATTTCCTTCCCCCTTGGCTTCCCAAACAATCTGAAGCAGGAGCCCCTGAGCTGCAACTTAACCCCCCACAGCCCACCACTGGACAGCCCTGTGATAATCTAAAATGACAGTACTTGTACCGAGACGTGGTTGCCCATGTTAGTCTGAAGTCAGGCAGAAGGCAAGGGAGGCTGGCACCTTAGACTAACTTGTTCAGAAACTCATTTAGAGTTTCTGGCTGATGTCTTCATAATTCATTAACTGTCTTCATGACTCTTCTAATCTCCACAGGTAATAACCATCCCTTTTCCCTTCTGAATAATCTTGTTGTTTTACAAGATTAGGCTATCTGTTCAGCTAAACTTCCCTCGTTCTAAAGCTCCTAGTAACTGCTCTTTTGCTCCTTGTTTTATAGCCCTCCTGCACTCCCTGAAGTGCCTGTTTTTCTGTACATATGGGGTTAACACATGCCATTCTTTTATCTGGCATTTAGCTTACGCTGCACTTGCTTCTTCCCTAGACTTAAGGAATGGCAAGTGATTTGCAAGTTATTTAAGTTTCTCTACTGGGGAAGAGTGTTCCCTCCCTGAGCTTACGGGAATACATCAGTAGCTGTTCGGTGTCACATTGATTTGACAAGACTGTTGCCACAGAATTGCATGAGGGTGCTGCCACAGGTTACCTTTAAACCATTCTCCACCTGTGGAACATCAGGCAGTGTTAAAGTCAGGACACTTTCAGAGCAGTCACAATGTTCAGACTTGTTTTCACACTTTCAGAGCAGTTGATGTTCATCCTGAGGGTGTCCTTGAAGCATTTCCTCTGGCCCCCACATTCATTTGTCCTTGGCTGAGTTGGGAGTGCAACAGTTGTTTTGTACATCAGGAGGACAGGAGGGTGATCCAGGCAGATCTTGACAGGCTCATGAAATGGGCAGAAGAGAACCTGATGGTGTTCAACACTGGAAAATGCAAGGTTCTCCACACCTTGGGAAGAAAAACCTGCAGCATCCTTATAGGCTCGGCAGTGCTACACTGGCTAGCACTATGGAAGAAAAGGACTTGGGGGTCATGATTAACCACAAGATGAACATGAGCCTTCAATGTGATGCTGCGGCTAGTAAAGCGAGCAAAACTCTGGCTTGCATCCACAGATGCTTCTCAAGCAAATCCCAGGACGTCATTCTCCCCTTGTACTCGGCCTTGGTGAGGCCACAGCTGAAGTACTGCATCCAGTTTTGGGCCCCACAATTCAAAAAGGATGTGGAGAAGCTTGAGAGAGTCCAGAGAAGAGCCACACGTATGATCAGAGGTCAGGAAAACAGACGTTATGACGACAGGCTGAGAGCCATGGGGCTCTTTAGCCTGGAAAAGCGCAGGCTCAGGGGTGATCTGATTGCCACCTATAAGTTTATCGGGGTGACCACCAGGATCTGGGGGAATGTTTGTTCACCAGAGCGCCCCAAGGGATGACAAGGACAAATGGTCATAAACTACTGCAAGACCGTTTCAGGCTGGACATAAGGTAGAATTTCTTTACTGTCCAAACCCCAAGGTCAAACAGCCTGCCATCGGAGGTGGTTGAAGCACCTACATTGAACACCTTCAAGGGTAGATTGGATGCTTATCTTACTTCAGGCGGGGGGCTGGATTCAATGATCTTCTGAGGTCCCTTCCAGCCCTAATGTCTATGAAATCTATGAAAGTATCCGAGCAAAAAGCCTCACACTTTATGTCAAGGATCTTCTGGAGGTAGGGCTGGTGAAGGTATTCCAGGCTTTTCAGGTGTTTCCTGTACGTCACCCAAGTTTCACAGCCACAGAAAAGAGTGGGAGTTACCACAGCCTTATATAATAGGAGCTTGTTCAAGTCCTAATGCCATGATCACTGAATGCACGATTTCACATTATTACAAAGGCAGAGCAAGCACACCGGATCCTAAACTAGATCTGCTTGTCAATGTTGGCCACCTTTGAGAGATGGTTGCTGAGGTATGTAAAGTGTTCAATATTCTCCAGCTTCTATCCATCAATGAGGATCTTTGCTGGGGGAGTTAATTGGCCCGGAGCAGGCTGAAGTACCTTTGTCTTTTGGATGTTAACGGTCAGTTCCAGGCACTGGTATGCTCAAGAGAAGCAGTTAAAAGGTTGTTTGTAGGTCCTCCTCAGGACGTGCAATGACAGTACCAGTACCACTAGTACAGGGGCCAGTACCACTCCCTGGACTGTAGAGCCTGGGAGGGTGGGAAGTTTGTCAGGGATAGAGGAGCTGGGAGCCATGAATCCCAGGATGCTGTATGACCACAAATTGGCCACTTTATCACGGTGGAGTAGACTAACAATACCCTGACTCGAGCTAAAGAGAATGGCACAACTTTAGCCTGAAGTGGCATTAACTTTAAGTCGCTTAGAGAATACTTAGCAGTTTAACACCCTTTCATGCATGGATGGCTCCCATTTAAGTAGCTTTAGAATGGTTTACAGGTAACCTAAAACACCAACATCAGGCAGGCTACTAAGCTCTCTGCTTTGGCACATCTGATACTTCTGGTGTGTGGTGGTGGTAATAGGAAGGCATTGAAGGTCAGAGTCTTCATTTAGTTCCTACAACAGTGTTTCTCAACCTTTTCAGGCTCAAGGCACCTCTCAAAAAGGCACCCCTCAGTTTTCACTCATTTTTTGACTACTGAAAAATGAAAGAGCAAGACTTTTCTGTTGCAAAATGCTCAAAACTGATCAGAATGTTTTTAATGCCATGGATTCTGATTTAAAATTTCTGTATTTATCTTGTGAATCATGCTTGCACATCTACCAGGGTCAATGTTGTGTGGCACCCCAGTTTTGAATCACTGTCCTACAGGTTTCTGTCCAACTAGGGAGCCAGTTAAAAGAAAAACTGTTATGGCCCTATGGGGAGAAAGGGTCTTCCACAGCTGGTTTTCCTTCAGGATTTCAACAACAGCTTACTCCAGAGGTGTAGCCAGTAATGGATCCAGGATGGTTAAAAGGGGGTGAAATGACTGCAGAGAGAGATCATTGCACATGCGTCTGACAGCTGAGATCAGAGCTCTCAGCAGTAAACTGGCAGCAAATGGATGTGCAACTGCACACCTCCCTGGGTCTGCCCCTGGGTGTAGCCAGAAAAAAGACAGATCCATACTGGAATTTGAGGAGGAAAGAGAAGAACCAGATGATAAGACATTACTGGCAAAAGCCTAAAATGGCATTTAGCAAATTAAGACTGATGCTTTAATGTTTACTCTCTGGCTTACAATGAAGCAAAGGGTGGATGGGGCTCTGAAATGAAGGACCCTCCTATTCATACCAACTAATGGAAGGGAAGCCAGCCTGCATACAAGGGTCAATGGGCACATCATTTGCAAAGGTTGCTTGGGTCATGAGCAGTGGTGTAACTAAAGCAGTGGAAACAGGGCAACTGCCCTGGGCATTGAATTGGTGGGGGAGGGGACAGGGGGAGAAGCAGCTGCTGTTGGCAGCTGTGCAATCACAAATCATGTACTAACCAGAAGTTGCTGCCCATGCTCCAGATACCCAGCTGCATCCCTACAATACTGGTAATGAGAAGGGTGTTCCTTTAAGAAAAATGCATCATGGATTAGGGTTTTCTGTGTCATTTTGGGGACTGCTGGGGGTAAGGAGGAAAGGTGAGATGGCATTCAAAGATCACCCCCCAGACAGCTTCTATACCAAACCCTTTATAGCATAGTGTATGAACTGCAGTTGTCCATGTGACAGCTTTGCCTACCAACCCAACAGCTAAAACCATGTCATGATAGCTGTTGCAGAATATTGCATGTTAGGTTTCCAGCATGTACTTTACTTTAAATTGTGTATTTATCTGCAAAACCAACACAGTTCCAAAACACCAGTGTGCAAGACTAATCTGTCAGACTGCAAGAACCATTTAAGTGCCCACACATCATTTAATATTTACTAAAGTAAGCACGTATAGTTCTGTAATTCACCTAGAAAGAGCAGATTCCTGTATATAGACAATTTCCAAATCAATGTAAATGTTGCATTTATCCACAAAAGAATTATGTTTGCCACTGGTGACCCATGCTTACATCTGAATAATTTAAGTGTGACTAGATGCCCCTTTTCAGATTCAGAATTGAAGTATTCATGCAGATATCCTGTCTGTTCTAGGTCAGACTAGTTCATGTTGTTATAGACAAGGTTAGAAGGTCTGAAAATGAAGTCAGCACTTATTCCACTGCCATCAGAGCGTAAGTCTTCCCCTTAAGTCTCACACCAAAATTCCAGAAATCCACCAGGACAGTTCTGTTGTGGGTCCAGAGCTATACCTGTTCTGATCCTTACCTTTAAAAGTCTGCCAACTGAATGCAGCTCCTCATAATACATTCATCTGACAGAGAATCCCATAATATATACCTCTTAATATTCCCTTCCAGTACAAAAAGAAATGATCTCAAGAGCCCCTCGCCAAATCAGTAACAATATTTATTTTAAAAGCTTCAATCTAATTGCAATATTTAAGAGAAACGTATCACATTCATTTGCTGCTTTACACACAATGTTTTACATGACATACATGCCACTTCACATTCTAGAAGATGACTTCATACGGTATGAAGCCACCAAAAAAGTAAAACAAATGTACCAACTACTATATTTACTTGGATACCAGCACACCAACCTGTCCCCTGTAACTTAGTCCTCCAAAATTGGGGTGCGTCTTAAGGGGAAAGCTGATTTCTACACTGGAATGAAAACATGGAAGACACTGAACTAGCTGGCAGTGGCTGTGTTTCTCTCCTGGCCAACATGCAGCAGAGGCAAGTCAACTATTCGGCATTAGAGCTTGAGCTTTAACCCTCACAGCCACCACCAAAACTGCAAGTAGCTTTTGCCTGAGAACCCAAAAGCTGCTGCCAATTCAGCAGCAGCTGTTGATAGTGTTAAAAATCTAGCTTTGGCCTGAGCAGCCAGTGGATGGTGAGTGAACTGAAAAGCAGACACTGCCCTTGCTCCATATAGTCAGTTTTCAGCCATGTTTGGAAAATGTTTTTCTTCTTCTGCCTTCCCAAGACAAGGTACTTGCCTTATTTGAGTGTGTGACATGACAAAAAAAATAGTAATTCCTGAAGTTGATGAAAATGTCAGTGTTTAGCAAGGCTATTATTTAGAAGCTGCCAGAGAGTAAAAGGACTTTCTATAATCTTTTCTATATTTTTATTAAAGTTGACAATACTTACTCATTTCTGCAAGCTTTTGTTGGAACTTGGACTCTCCTGGTAGATGTTTGCTGCACACAGAAAACATGTTATTGAAGCATTCTTTTTATTTTTGTCTAATTAATCTAATATAAAGACTAGTTAATTTACATCAGGGCTCTCACCTAACCTTAGCTAGCTTTCTTCTTATAAAGATGCAAGCCCAGGCCTGATGTTTTTTCTGTATATTAAACCAAATAAAAAGTTACCAGATTTCTGATACTCTCATCTCCAATTTTGTTAAGCTCAACAGAAGCCAAGCAAGATGATGGTTTAATACTTAGGAGTTGCCATGTAAAGTTGCTATTCCTACAGCTGGGGGTGGGAGCCTACTGCTCCTGACTCTAGAGTTCAATCTGAGAGATACTGAGCTATCACTAAAAAGATTTTGAGTCTGTAAATTAAGAGAATTATAAAAGACATATGTTATGAGTGGCAACTTCTTTCCTTCCTGTTATTACACTGAATTTCATGTCACAGGTTTTCAGAAACAAATATATGTCAACCAAACAGATTTCTAATCATACACTCTGAAATCGGACTGATAAAATGAGCTCTATGAAGAACTCTGAACTACTGAATTAAAAGTTTGATCTTGTACACCTACCACATACCCTAAGTGAATTCCAGAAGCCCCTCCTTTGCCAAATAAACCCTTGCCTGGATGATTAAACAACATCTATATCAGGGGTGGACAAATACAGCCCATGGCACACTCCATTTCCTGGCAGCCCCTGTGGTAGTGGCTCCTTTTGGCTGCTGCTGCCAGACCCAGCCCTGCAGTGTGGGCATCCAACTGACTGTCCCACACCCACTGCCAGGGACGGGACCTACACAGCCAGGGTGTGCAGCCAGGTGGCTGGGATGGGGCTGCAGCCAGGAGCAAGATGGACAGGCGGGGTCAGGGGGACCCCAGGATTTGAGGGCAGTGACAGCATAAGGCTGGGGGCGAGGCACAGTAACAATCCCTGCACACCCCACCGGCAGAACTTGTGCTCATCAGAGGGGTGAGGGGAAGTGGACTGCAGCTCTGCCCTGACCCCAGGCTGTTACTGCTACAAGATCGCGGCCCCAGCTCTAGCCCCGGATGCAGCTCCCTACCCAACTATGCGCCTTGCCCATGAAGCTCCTGGCCAGTTCCATGGAGATCCCAGGACTGCGGGGCTGTGACACCATGGGCCAGGGCAGAGCTCTGATTCTGCAGGCGGGAGCAAGCAGGGAGCACATCATGGCTTTGCCCCAGCCCTGCACTGTCACTGCACCAAGATTGCAGGGTCATCATGAAGACTGGCTAGGAGCCATGAGGGCAGGGCGTGCAGCTGGGCAGGGATCCGCCTCCAGGGATCCTGGGGGTGGTGACAGCACAGGGCCAGGGCAAGACCCACAATCTGCTTCCTGTATGCCCTTGCACGCTAGTCGCAGGGACATGGGGCAGCTATCATGGCTCTGCCCCAACCCCAGCCTAGTGCTGTCACTGCCCCAAGATCCTGAGGTCTCCCCAGGCCCACCTGACTATCTATCTCACTCCCAGCTGTAGCCCAATCCCAACCATATATACTGCCTGCATGAGTCCCACCCCTGGTGGTAGTTGCAGGGCAGACAGGCCAGGGTGCCCAGGCAGCAAGGCTGGGTCCAGCAGCAGCAACCAAAGGGAAATAGTTACCTGAAATAGCAACCCGCTGCTGGGAAATAGTCTGGCCACAGGCCAGATCCACCATTTTGCCTACTGCTGATCTATACTCTCCTCCAGACAAATGGCATGGGAATGTACTAGGAGTCACTGAGCCACTATTTCCCCTATACTTAAAATAACAAAAATTTAAGAATTAATGATGCCAGCCAGCATGCAGACAGATATGTTTCCCCTTTTTTAAGATGTAATAAGCATCCCTTTGTCCTAGAAACCTATATGTCTGTGGTACAAAACTACAAATAATGAGGCCATTACTAGACTGATTTACTCTAATGAGATCTGCAGTTGTCACAGGCAAGTGGTGTCAGACCCCATATTCAGACACTATGTTCTTTTGTGGGAAGACTGCAATAGATGACTTAAATCACTATCTGTAGTCTTGTTAGTTCTTTGAAAAAAATAAGAGGAAAATGGATCTTTCCAGGAATGGAGACATTTTAAATACTGGGGTAACAAAGAGAAAACAATCTGGATTCTCCAACAATTTGGCTCCTGAGGTATACAGGAGTAAATTAAGATCACCCCAGTAAGGGCCAAAATCAAATAGAATTTTCCTGTTTTGTTTTATTGTACACTGCTTCATTTAATCTTTTATACCATTATATACTACGTTTTGCTTTAATTTAGTGTAAACTGGCAGAATAGGTAATCTTATGCATGTTTTAGCAAAAATCATAATTATGTATTATATTTATTGCTCATTTTATTGTATTGTTTTGGCAAAAACTGTAAATAAACTACTATTACTACTACTACATGTAATTTCAGGACCCAGTTCTTAGCTTGTCGTACCTTCCATCTGCTTCATCTTGTCCCTCCATGTCAAAGCGAAGTCTTTTCAGTGGCTTGGGAGCACTGCTTACTTCTGCACTGCGTTTCAGCTGACGGTCACTGCTACCCACCATCTGGTTTATTTTTTGAAACTTCTCTGAAGTCTGGGATTACAAGACAACCATAAAAACAACATTCCTGGTTAACTCTGATGTCAACTGCACTCTCCAGACTACCAGCCAAAAAATTAATTTCAGGTTTTAGGAACTCTTTTGAAGTCTTCCCCAAATACCCATAAGAAAATACGGAAGCTTTTTAAAAGTCAATGTATGTAAGAGAAGTTAGCAAAGTGCCACTGCAATGTTCGTGTTTACAAATTAGAACAAACACACTAAGATGAAGCAAGGACACAGGCCAGTTTTACAAGTTAAGAAGATGTACATGCTTTCTATAGTTATTTTTATATAAAAAAAACTTGACAGTAGTAAACAAAACATGGCTATGTCACTTCAAAACTATTAGAGAACAAACTTACCCCAAACGTTTCACCAATTGACACCAAGATTCTGACAGAACAAACGAAAAGAGGAAAAAATCTTTAAGATGAGGCCTTATTTAGCAGTGAAGAGATGGAAGCATTCACAACCTAGCATGAAAATTATTAAACAGCCCACGCCTTCAAGAGACTAGCACATTAACTGAAGAACACACTCTCTCTCTCAACATATTAAGCATATAAAGAGAGCAATACATTCATCACCAATGACATAAACCTCCTCTTAAAATGTATATTTTTACAAAGGACTGAAAACAGCTGGATGGACTAACAGAGCCATCTTGAAAGACAGAGAAGAGAAATTGTGGCATCAAAAGAAGCAGAGACCCATTTAGTTTGTCCCTAATTTCGGCAGGAACACCCTTTTTCAGTAGATGTGTGCCCCAGACATGCTCTCCCTTTGATCATTACCTGCAGGTGTTTGCTAATAAAATCAGCAGGAATTCAACCTAAAACATACAAATATCATAGTAATTTTTTCAGGTCCATACCCATTCAACCTGTGCCAAACCTGCTCACAAGGACGCCATGATGCTGCTCACTAGGTGCTTGCTTCAGATAACAAGTTATTTCAGAAACAAATATATGTAAATCAAAAAAGATTTCTAATCATACACTCTGAAACTGGACAGATAAAATGAGCTCTATTAAGAACCCTGAACTACTGGATGAAAATTAGGTCTTTTACACCCACTACATACCCTATGAAGTGAGCAGCTTAACAGGTAGTGTTTGACAGTGAATGACAAATCAAATGAGGTGCATCTAAGAGATTGTTTTGATTCATACTCAACACTTCTTCAAATGGAGTGCCAACAAAAATATGCTAGGCTCAATCTGTGAATCAAGGTTATAATATAGGGCTCAAACTCTGAACCAGAAGACAGACAAATCACACTGAATGATTACCTGATTTGCTTGTATTAAACATGTGAATGTTATTCTCAATTGCTCAAAGAATGTTTGTGACCAACCTGGATCCTGGTGTCATTTTTGTGGGTGACAGCAGCCCCTCAGAGGATTTGTAGGGACTCTTCAAGGGTGAGATGTAGATGTTATTTCCAGCAGGGACTCGGAGGGGGGAATTAGAAAACGTGTAAGGGCTTTGAGGAATATATGGGATAGGGGATAAGGTAGGAGGCTGTAACAAAAGAAATTGGATATTTAATAGTAGCAGTAAGATTTTTTTTTGTCAATTTGGCTAAATGATTCACTTTAACTACAAGTAGAGATCAACTGACTTACCCTATTGGAGGCATACTGCAATATATTTGTTTTCAATTTCTGCATAAACACTAAATTGTAGAAGACTATAATGGAGTCATATTGTCCTTCCCTGATCAGAACACGCTTGAAAGTCTACACAAGGGGGGGAAAAAAAACATACTGAAAAAAAAACAAATCCCTGCAATTATTTTACAGTCCATCCCATCACAGCACATGACATATTAATACTGGCCAAACTTTTAAAGAGGTTGCGTCTTGTGTACTAGCTATTAATGGCACTGTTTAAGTCTTGCTTGTACTCAGATTTTAGACAGATTCAAAGGACAGCAGCAAAAAACAAACAAACCTGATTTAGTCAAACCTGTGCAATCCCTTAGTTTAGGTACAATTATATTCTTATAAGAACTGCAAACGCAGGAGGGAGTGGCACCAACAGTTTTCTTTATTTATCAGATTAATTATTCAGATTTATCAGGCTTTTTAATGTATCAGATTAAGGACTGGTGCAAGAACTGAGTGTGGACTAATCCTTAAAAGCACTGATTCTCAACTACGGTGCCATGACCTGAGATCCCTTCAGGAGTGCCATGCACTGTTTGTACACCTAAATGTGTGTAGCACAACTCACAAGATAAACCCAGGGATTTCAAATAGGAATCCAGTGTTAAAAACATTCTAACTTGTTGTGGTCTTTCTGAGTTCTCTGCAACAAAAGAACTGCTTTATTATTTTTCTGCAGTCAAAAATTAAGTGAAAAATAGAGCTGGCATTTTCCAAGGGGTGCCTTCAGTCGAGAGGGCCACGCTGAGTCTAGGTTGAGAACCACTGATCTAAGGTAATCAGGTGGACTGATGCTTTGACTATAAGTGAGTTTATACAAATAAAATAATCTGCTATGCATCTGTATTTTGAATATTTTAGAACAAATAAAAATATCTTTGCTCTCTACCCAATCTTGTTTTATAGGATTCCCTTCAGTTGCTCAAGTAAGGTTCTCAAATGCATATAATGAAAGATTCACCTCAGGCTTCTGCTGATTCCTGACTAGCTGTTCAGGCAAATTTAACTGTATTTCTATTCTGTCATTTCCTTATGCATTACTGATGGACAAGCCAAATGTTGTTTCCTTTACTCAAGCCAGTAATCAACTGAATTATTTTCAGAAGTCAGAAGAGTCAGGTATGACCAGTGAACAGGTACAAGGTATGTACTGAAAACAAATAGGTTTTGAATCTAGGAGAAGTGCAGAAATCACTAATTGTTGCAACAGTTAATGCAACAATCAGCACTTAGACCTGTGTTGTCAGATGAGCACTGACAGCATCAGGTCACCTGCAGGCAGGCAATTTCTCTACAAAATAATGCAATCTAGTTTGAACATGGGTGAGGAATCCAGATTGTTCTTTTTATCACAGTCCTACCAGTTACTCACAGTCTATCTTGAGCAAGTCACTTCTCCTGTGCCTGTCACCACTTCGAAAGTACAACACACCACATGAGTGCTTCTTAATCATCACATACAAACACTACAGCAAAAGACCACTAAAGTTCCACTCAGATAATCTAGTGGTTGCATTTCCTAACATATCAGCCATGTCTAAGCAGGTAGGGGCTAATCTTCCACTGACTGCAATGGCAGTGAGGCATATAACCAAATTAGGTATTTTTGAAAGTCCTATCTGCATCTATGGGAGGTAAGTCTCTTTGTAAATCTCATGCTCAGGCCTTATACCACAGCTAAGTAGTATTTTTCAACAGCTGAGCACCTTAAAAAAAAACACTGGCTTGCTTTTTAGAGGCATTATTGGTTAGCCAAACTTCTAATGCAACCTGAAGACTGGTTAGCTGCATTAGTCTGAAATCAGGCAGAAGGCAGGGCAGTGCAGGGCAGCACCTTGGAGATTAACCTACTCTCTGAATCAGTCTCCAAATGCCACCCTGACCTGCCTTCTGGTTTATATGAGCTAAATAAAAGTCATTTTTCTAAGCTGCTTCTGCATCTGGAGGGTCATTCAAACTTTACTGTAATAATTTATGGAAGGCAAATACCAAAACACTTTTCCTACCTCTTGATTGGTATTCGTGAGCTCCTTGTATGCTGAAACAATGATTTTAAATCTGAGATCTATGTTCTTGACTTTGCATATGCCATACATAGAACACATCATGATCTATTAAAGAAAAAACAAAGCGACAGTCAGAAATGCAGGAAACGTTTTCCATGTTTCCTTTTAAGAAACAACACCTTTCTTCCCTTGACATTCTTTCACAGGCTTACCAGTTTTTTCTTTTGATATGCTTCCAGGTCCCAGTGAGGTCAATGGGAGTTCTGTTACTGACTTCATTGAAGTCAGGATTTCACCAGTGCCATTGGGAAATGAAAGTAAGGCTCAGTAGTTCCAAGATTCTTACTACCAGGGGTGGATCTAAGTGGGTTGGCAGGGGTGGGGTGCTGTGGTGTGCCCCCCTCCCCTTTCAAAGTGTAGCACAGGTGACTTCTCCCTACCCCCTAACAGAGGGGAACAACACCCAGGCAATAGGAGGGCTGGTGGGAACAGAGCAGGTCCAGGATGGGGTGTTGCCTGCTGTCGCCATCTGTGGCTGAACCCAGCAGCCCACTCAGCTGTTCCCCACAACTGGAGTCCCTGGGTTGGTAGGGGACATCAGGGAACCTGGTAGGAAGCAGGTATATATACAGGAAAAGGGGCCACTGCGCATGCTATCCCTGCTTAAGCCCAACACCTGATGCAGCCTCTACCCTGCAGCTGGAGCCTCCAGGTTGGTAGAGCACACCAGGGGAACAGGTACAGGAAGGGGGGCCCCACCTGCTGGTGCCACTTCCCAGCTGACCCAGAGCTGCTTCTGACCTGCTTGAGCCACCACCTGCAGAAAGCAGCTGCAAAGGATACGAGGCTCAGCCATGAACAGTGGTAGCAGTAGCTGGGTCCCCCCCTTCCAGACCCTGCTTTCAGGTGGCCAGGAAAGAGAGGGCCTGCCCCCTGCTGCCAATGTCCCAGGCCAAGCCCAGCACACTATGCAGCTACAACCCATGGCTTGAGCCAGGTAAGAATATCTCTGGGACTCCTTGCCCGTGGGTCAGCTGGGGACAGCAGCAGCAGTGGGCAGGTCCCTCCTCCTTGCACCTGATCCCTGTCTGCCCTTTTGCTTGCTCCCCATCCAACTGCACCTTGGCCCCATCCCCCCATGGTCAAAAAGAATGGCATCCTATTAAATCCTAGGCCAACTCACACTTATTACTCAGACTGATCAATGATCTACCTCATAGTGAGCTCCAAGAGAAAAAAAAATAAGCAAACCAGGATTTCTTTCTTTTTTTGAGGACGTTTAGTAAACCAATATGAAACCTAAATATGAACTTGGAAGGTAAGGAATAACAAACTGCATTTTTAGCACAGAACCACAACCAAGGATCAGGGGGGTTGTGGATCAGTTACCATTCTGTCTTCCCAGGCAAAAATTCATATTCTTACAGTAATCTTTGGCTTCTACTCTCTAATTTGGCAACATTTAAGTGGTGTGCGCTGTATCTTGGACAGTATAGCATAATGAACTGTGGTACTTAACAATAAATTGCAAAACTGCATCAATGCACTATATTTAACTCACTTCTGCTTTGAATAAGCTACTTTAATAGGAGATAAAGCTCATACTTGGATTTTAAATAATTAAAAAAAGATAAATCAACCAATAAGCAAACCTTTTTTGGAAAAGAAAAGTATTTCTCATTTTTATATATTACCTGGTCTAAGTGCCTGTCTCTCATAAGTTCATATTCATTTTGCAACGTGTGCTGAAAAAGGGTCCAGATCAAGTGTTCCAGTTCAGGGTGTTCAGAGAGAAGCCGAAAGCACAGGGTATTCAATCGAAGATATGCCAGCCGATATACTTGTGAAAAGAGGAGAAAAATAAATCATGGTGGGAACAAAAAACTTTCATATACCCACTATTAAGACAGCATCCCTGTAATGGCTGTACCAGACAGTTTCTCTAAATGGTTTTTACTAACTCACATTCCTCTTTTAGCTCAGAGATGAAACTTTCATGCTTTTATGACTTGGGAACCTGGGTATAGTCCCTAGTGATAACAGATGAGGAAGACGGTTATATATGCAAGGAGTGTGATCTGTAATTGTACTGCTGCTATACTGAAGAGTTCAATACACGGACTTTACTCATGACCATTACAGATTAGAAACAGAAAGACCTGGCTGACAATATTATTTCATCAGGGAGTTTGATATTTTCCTTATATTACCTGATTACACTTAGTTTCTATAGTATTAACATGTTTCTGTATAAACACGCAGTTTGTGCTTTGATATTTCATAACAGTTTGTTTATAGGAATTTTCAATATGAATTAACCTTTAGATAATTATACTTTATTAGATAAAAATGCATTTTACAAGTACTGCATTATAACTCAAACCTTATGTATTCTTTCAACTTTATAATATATGGCTGCTGACAGATGTGGGGTGGGGTTGGGGAGAACAGACAGCGATTTACCAGAAGAGGAATCATGTCAGTTTGATCTGGCTCCACAGGTCTAATATATGGTTCAATCAGCTATTAATTAGATAAAAGTGCCAAAAAGCCCTACTGAAGCACATGAACTATACAGACGCTGGATGAGCCAAGTCAAAATGATGCAATTCCTCTTCTCGGCATGCACTGTGCTTGGCATGGGGGCGCACTGAGCTGAAAGCAAGGCACTGTTCCCTTCCCACCCCACATTTGTAAGCAGCCCATATGTCTGTTCATAAATTCATTTTTAAGTCAGCGTATGTGTATATCCTATGTACTATTCCATTGTCATTATTTTTATTAATATCCTTCTTAATGAATTGACAACAGCTCACAGTTAGTGCAGTACTTTGTATTTGTATCATGTACTTATTACAGTTCCCCGATATATATTTTAGGAGTTTATTAAAAAAAGAAAAAAGAAAAGAAAAAACCCAAGAAACAGTTAATGAAAGATGACTTTGAAATGTTTTTGCATATAGAATGTTCTTCTTTCTTCATGGAGCCTACAAACCTTTCTTGTAAAATAGGGAGAGGGAGGTAGATTTCTGTGGTTTCTGAGTCTGGGGGGTCACAGCAGACTGAGCATCTGTAGGAGGAGTACAGTTTAAGTGAACTGCAGATCCTTTTTTCTTAGGCGATCTCACAGGAGAAAGATACCTGCATATATAGAATAGATAAATATGAATACTGAAATGAAAGCCAGAAAGATATTTACTTAGAACAGAAAAGTAGTAAATAATTTTGAATACAAAATACACGTATATGCTCTGACACTCCTCCAGTGGAGTGGAAGAAGTGGATTCTCATTGAAATAGGTCACTCATAATACCATAAAACGAAAATTAAAGAATTGTGGGAACACTTAGTTGTATTCCTCCTTTCCTGTAGTCCGGAGAAAGGAGCTGAGGAAACAGTGCCGTGTTCCCAAGAGGCCTGAGCAAATCAGAGCTCACAGACAAAGCTTCTCTTTGATCTCCCAAGCTTGTGGCTGCAAGCTCTTCTTCTAAGCCTCATTGTGCAGCCATGAGTACAGAATGCTCCTCTGCCACATTCAGCTGAGGCTAGCGGCTAGGAAATTGCTAGGTAGGGAGAAATACTAGTGATGATGCTGAGGAGGAACTGGAACAATGCACATTGTTTGTGGCATCACAAAACTTGACAGTAAGTTCCAGATAAAAATCTAAGTAAGAGAGTTGGATCCATAGCAAGGCAGATGGGGTCATGCCACAGAACATAATACTTTTAGAGAAATCTTAACCCACAGAGATAAGACAAAGTATTTTTTTATATAGAGTTTGGAAAAAATAAAAATATTGAAGATTTGGCTAGGCATGACTCATTTTCACTACATGCTACTCTTGCTGCAATTCATGTCACCTGTAACTTTAGCATCAAAGTCTAACAAGAAAAATAGCAGAATAAAATAAATAAATGGTTTTAAATACTATGAAATAAATTAATTCCACACTACATTATATGTCCATCATCCATACTTACAGGTCTGCAGCAGTGTGATTATGCTGGAGAGGCAGGTTTAGAGTGCAAGTGGGTTCAGGCTGATCAACCTGACCTTCTCTTTCCTTTGACTGCCTGATAAGATCAAATAAAGGTGAATCCTAGAAAAGAAAGTCACAGTAAAGTTTCAGTTGAGACTGAAGGCAAAAAACAAATAATCCTGATATAAAATTGTTAAATCTATTTTTAAAATCCACTTTGAAATATACAAATCAGTATTTTGTTTGTCCATAGAAAGCAATAAAATTGCTAAGATGCTCTAATACGGGGATAGGCAATCCCTGGCACAGGTGGCAGTGTGGCACGTGTGCCACAGGGCAGACAGCGGGGAAGGGAGGGAGGCTGCATTGCCACAACAAGTATCAGACCACTCAACTCCCCCACTGTCTGCTCCTAGCACGCCAACATCTTGCAAGTCGATACTGCAAGTGTTTTTGGCATTCTGCCCAACACACCGCCAACCCCTGCTCTACATATTTTGTCAGTCAAGAATTAACTGACAAATTCTAAATAAATGTTAAATAGTCCTGTTAGATTTTCTTTGGGAAACAAGCCACCTGTCATTAGATTCTGAAGTCCACATTCAGAACCGAGACATATTTAGATGTTGGAAGTCTTAGTTTTTCTTGATACAGACATTTTTACAAAGAAGAGCAAAGAGAATCAGGAGTAGAAAGCATGTAAAGAAAAATGGCTATTACTGTTCCCACAAAATAAGAAAATTGAATGAGATTTATCCCATGTTCACTACAATCAAATATTTTGCATATGAGGATACATCCATTTAACCTGGATGACAGAACTCATTTAAATCTTATACAATCCAGATTATTGTGTGGTGCTTGTTCCATGCCCTACTTCTGGCACTGGCCCTAGCTAGTTCATGAACCCTCTTCCTCCTCTTTGAACTCCAATTAGGACAGGAAAAGGAGGGTTTGATGGCTCTATGCTCCTTCAGTCTCTCTCTATATAGCCCTGTTCCAATCCTGCCCAATAAGTCCATATGTTAGATATAGAAAGGCTAAAAAAGTATCAGGTTGCAACTCAAAGGCATTTAAAATCATTTTGATTTCAGATTGGCTACTGGAAGTGACAGATAAGACTAGGGAGTAGTAGCAGGAGAGTAAGGGCCTGTCCACACGAGCACGCACATGCCTCTTGCCCCACCTCAAACCCCTTTGAGGATATCCAGGTGTCTAAAAAAAAATATGTTAAAAAACGTGGAGCAGGGCACAGTCCCTGACCATGCCCTGAAGCAACCAGAGGCTGGGTCCTCCATGGAGACGCTCTGGCTGCTAAAGCATCTCTATGGTTGGCCCTCGCCCTGGTGCTGCAACACGCAGCCAGCCAGGCCGCATGTTTCAGCACCAGGGCT